TGCCCCTCCACTCCTGCTGCTTAAAAATGCTGGGGTTTCTTCCTTTAGGATCATTACGATGTATCAGTTGAAACTGAATCTGTTCCTGTAGCAGTATTTTGTGGGCTTCTTGGCCTAAATATGCCAGTCAAATTAAATTATATTGAATACCTGTGTTTCCTTAAGAGGTTCTGTAATTCAGTAAAACATAAAAGGTCATATGCAGCATACACAAATGTACTAAGCAAAGAAATACTCTTCACCAGAAGAAACTAATTTCTGAGCTTGCAATATAAACTTTTTCTAGTAGTTGATTAGCTCATTTAGAGATCACTTCTAGAAATTAAAATACTTGCTTTATTCACGTTTCCTGTCTAGAGTGGTGTAATCCACCCTCTCTAAACCACTTTAGGAATTTTTGTGCATGTAGACTAAAAGTACAATATATATGATTTAGGAATACAAAGCAGTGGTTTATTAGAAGGTGTAGATAACTGACAGCATGTTAGTCTAGACTAAATGCTAGTGTACCCTTCATAAATAACCTGACAATTTATGAGGAAAAACCTGACCTCAGACCACAGCAAAAAAAATGCCCAGATTAACCAAGTGAAGACATGGTGTCCTGACTCCTTGGAAGGTACAATTGTGGGTAGCCAGGTAGGAAAGAGAGGAGCTCGAATCATTCTATGAATCCTTTATAGGAATTTTAGAGACTTAAAAGCAAGTAACATGTCTAAAACATTTTCTAAGCTGTTTTTCTTGTTCCAGATATCTGGTGCCCTAGTCAGTACCTGCAGTGTCTCAAATTCAAGTTGGTCAAGCCTTGTACTGTAACTCCTCCCCAAGCTATGGATATTTCATTTTATAAAAAATAGTTATACTTCCATATTGTATTCTTCAGTCACCGAGATCTACCTCAGATTTGCAGGTGAAAGATTCATTAGTGAAATGTTTTACCTCTCACTATTTTTGACTCTGAAAAGTTTCACCAAGCACATAGTGTTGCCAACCTGTAATAAAACCTTTGGCATAGTTTCCCCCAGCATTCTCATGGAAGACCTGGCAGCAGGATTTGGACTGAGCAGGTAGGTAAAAACTTTCAGGATGTCCAGGCCTTGAGAGTGTTGGTGAGTGGAGTAAATATCCAGCTGGTGGCTGGTCATGGGTGGGTTCCTGTGGGCTCAGTACTGGGAGCACCTCTGTTTAATATATTTATTAATGACCTGGATGAGGGAATGGAGTGGACCCCCCGTCAGTTCACAGGTGGAACCAAACCATATGGGAGTGTTGATCTGGAGGTCAGGAAGTCCCTGCAGAGGGATCTGGGCAGGCTGGATCAATGGGCTGAGGCCAATGGTGTGAGGTTCAACAAGGCCCAGTGCTGGCTCCTGCCCTTGGGTCACAACAACCCCAGGCAGCTCCACAGGCTGGGGCAGAGTGGCTGGAAAGGACCTGGGGGTGCTGGTGGCAGCAGCTGAACATGAGCCAGGCTGTGCCCAGGTGGCCAAGAAGGCCAATGGCATCCTGGCCTGGCTCAGCAATAGTGTGGCCAGCAGGAGCAGGGCAGGGATTGTCCCCCTGTCCTGGGCACTGGTGAGGCCACACCTGGAGTGCTGTGTCCAGTTCTGGGCCCTGACTGCAGGAAAGACACTGAGGGGCTGGAGTGAGTCCAGAGAAGGGCAGGGGAGCTGGGGCAGGCTCTGGAGCACAAGTGCTGTGAGGAGCAGCTGAGGGAGCTGGGGGTGTTTAGTGTGGAGAAAAGGAGGCTCAAGGGGTGACCTTATCACTCTCCACAACTGCCTGAAAGGAGAGTGTGTCCAGGTGGGGGTCAGCCTCTTCTACAAGGCAGCCAGTGACAGGATGAAAAGAAATGGTCTTAATACCAGGAGACGCTGAGGTTGAGTACCAGGGAGAAGTTCTTCATGGAAACGGTGATTAGGCATTGGGATAGGCTGGCCAGGGAGATGATGGAGTCAATATGCTTGGAAGATATCAAAAAACTCCTGGACATGGCCTTTAGTGCTGTGGTTTAACTGACAGAGTGGTGTTTGATCAAAAGTTGGACTCAGTATTGGGACGTCTTTTCCAATGTTAATAATTCTGTGGTTCTATGATGAGTGAAAAAGGCCTTAGGTTGCATCAGGGGAGGTTTTCCTTTGTTTAAGGAAAAACTAAAGGAATGAGTCCTTGAGTGTTGGATCTGGCTCCTCAGGTTGGTGGTGGAGTTGCAGTCCCTGGCATTGCTTAAAAATGAATCAGCATGGCATTTTGTGATGTGATTTAGTAGGGAGTGGTAGGTGTAAGAGAAGAATATCTGTATGATAAGCTGTTCTCATCTACATAGCCTCTTTCTGTGTTCTTTGTTAAAGTGTATGTGAGAAAGTTGCTTGATTGCAGGTGCTTACTGCAAACTTCTGCAGCTCTCCCTTCATAGTGACTCTGCCAAGACTAACTCATGCTGATTGAAGTTGTCATAAAGAGTCTGCTCACTGTGGTCTTGTGGTGGAAAATTACAATAAAATGCACTTTGTAGTCCTGCTATTAAAGCCACACGGGATTTTCAGTGATTCCTTTAGCGTGTTTGTACTAATGGGTTTAAATAGGTTTTGCTGCTTTTGCAATTGTAGTAAAAGGCTTGGGAATCTTAAATTACCATAGGATGAAGACATATAACAGATTGCAATTATAGCAGTTGTGATGTTGCAATGCTGTGAAGGAAGATGTGACAGGAAGGAAGTATTGCATAGTTCTCTATTCTGAAATTGATAACAGCCTTGTGGCCTTCTTAGCAAAACACCTGATTCTTTTCTTGAGGAGTAAATCTCTAGAGTATGGATGAAGAAGGTTCACAAATAATTGCACTTGGGCATTAAAACATTCCTGTGTGTACTAAATGTTGGTAGTTGCACACTGTACCACATAATAATTTGTACATTTCTTACGTGTTTTCTTAGGTTTGAGCAGTTTGTAGAGTCTGCCTCTGGCTAATTTGACATAGTTTTATATATGCCCACTGTAGGGACGCTAACTTTAGGCACACAGTGGATTATGGTGGTCCTTTCTCTCTTCACCTATGCCTTTATCAAAAACTCACTGCTCTGTGCTTATACAGTAGGTCAGGGAGTAACATTAATTTCCATGCCAAATGTGTAATTTCCTAATAAAACTTTCTGAGTGATTTTGGGCTGTTTGACTCATTGTTCCTTTTGAGTGAGCACTTAGGTGTTTCCTGCCCCTTAACTGTGGGTTGTCACACCAATTATTGTTGCTTCTTCAGTGATACGTTACATAAGCGTGGACATTGTGTTGCATTTAAACTAAGGCTTTAGTCATAAACCAGTAATTTAAGAGCGTGGTTTTGAGGGTACTGCTATTGTTTAATTTTTATGTTACACTAAAGTGAAATTTAAGAATGGCATAATTAATTTTTTACCTGTTAAATGCAGCCTTGCGTGGAGGTTGATGCTAGATTTCTAATGACAAGCTACTCATTGAAAAATGGAATTATGCATATTTGGAAATTGATATCAAAATCAGACTGGTTTCACTGGATTTTTCTTCCCCATGAGTAAAATCACTAGGGGACTATAAGGACGCTCACGGTTTTTATGTTTTGCAGTACCATAAGTCATTGAAAGTCTATTGTCATGCCCTCCTCTTTACATTTAGAGGACTGAAGTGGTTCAAGTCATTGGCACAGGTGGAAATCAGCCTAATGAGTTTCTTGGTTAAAACCAACTCCGCAACTTCCTGATATAAAATTTAGTATACGTTTTCCATCAAAACAGCTTTTGCTAAGACTGAACAATTAAACACTGCAAGGTCTATCTGCAGACTGGTCAATGAAAATGCACCTGATTTTTCCACTGAACTACAAAATTCTATGTTCTGTGCCACTGTTAATACAGGCTCACTGTAATTATACAGTGGTCAGTAACTTTATAGGGTGTGGTCATACATAATATAGAAAATAATTATTTCTTGAAACTGAACAACTAAGAGTAACAAATCAGTTTGCAATGAGGGTCAGGTTTTTAGCAGTAGTTCTGCAGTCTCCAGTGGAAATGATCTCTTCAGGATCAACTGATCGCTGGAGCAGTTACCCCTGAATCACCAGTCCAAACAATACTTATAGAGAGGCATCAGCAATGAAAACAGTTGAGTCCTTCCGCAGAAGGCACTTCCTTCCTCGTGTTTCAGGAACAGTAGTAGCTTCACTTTGCTCTCACCCTTAGGATGGAGGACTTAGTTCTTCTAGAGCAAAGTGAATGAAAAGTTCTTCATGGGCAAAGTGGATAAAAGTGACTATGTGTCTGCGTGTGGCTATGGAACAATTCTTTGGCCGGATTTCTATTGTACTCTAAAGGTTTCCTGTCTTCTGTGCCAATCACTTTTGGTAAATGACATCACTTTAATATGATGTTTTTCTCTTTACTATTCACTTGCTACTAATGGTAGTAGCTGAAACAGTTACTGATGCTATCATTAAGTGCCCTCTGCATCCTGGAATCTCCTAAGTGCTACTGTCCAGTCCACAACCAAACATTTAAGTCTGTGGAAGCCTTAATGTAAGTATGTACATCACCATGAGGCAGGCAGACAGATGACTCAGGGTTTTAAAAAGTTAAACAGATGTCTAATTAGTCTGTTAGGTCTGGTGCAGCTTTTCATGATTTTGAAAGATTGAGCAGTCAACTTTCAATTGTCAGTGAACTCATTGTATTAATCTGTGAGAACAGGCAACTAATCAATCAGACCTAGTATAGAATAGAGGTTCAATAATTAAACATAATTAAGGGTCAGGTCCTGCTCTTTCTTATATTCTTACTAAAGGAAAAAAAAATGTGGTATACCAAAGAGCACTTAGGTTACAGTTTACCTCTGATTCTTCTGAACCGCATTTGTTTCATCTGTTACCTCATAGTAAAACAAATGCAAGTTTTCAAAAATATGCATGCTAACACGTACTTATTAAATAGCAAGGGGAATTAAAAATTGTGAAAAACAGAGTTCACACCTTAGAATTTAAAAAATTTTATTAAAGGATAAAAGAAGGACAAACAACTAATCCTGCACTGGGGTGCTTTTGGCGAACAACCAAAAAGCATGGAGGTAGCTTAAAATCATGTTCGCGATATAAGTTATATTGCTGCATATTCATTAGCTTATACATTATTTAAACATTCCTTTGAGTTTTTCATGTTCTAGGAGCTCTTGTTTGGTTTTAACTTCTGACTTGTCTGCAGGACATTCTGTAAATTAGGTATTTTATTTCTTCCTGTAGTTTTATCCTATTGGTTCACACTCCCTGATAGCACTGATAAGAGTTGGTAAATCTTTCTCGGATTCCTTGCTCTGTTTCTTGTCACTGTTACCACTTGAAGAGGCCAGTCTGCAGATGTAAGAAACAGAATAATTGCTTTACATTATTCTCTGAGTTAGTTATTTGGAAGTATTTTAGTCTCTATTTTAACATTTTGCTAAAGCCCACGATATAATCTATTTATCACACTTCTATTTATAAGAACTATACAATGCATACTTAAACTGACGGATTATACAAAGCAGTTAAAAGTATGAAGTTGTACTATATCAAAATACTTCTGATGCAAAAAGCCAATCTGTGAATGCCAAAGCCAATATTATTTTATCATCTATAACAAAAAACATTAAAGCAGTTTGCAGTGCAGCCTCACACCAAAGTTATGGTTGCTGGGGAGGTGGCATTTTGAATGAACATCATTCAAAAATAAAAAAGTAAGCAAATGGGGTGCCTGGCTGAACCTGATGACTAGCTCTAAAGAGGGTGAAGGCTGATGAATGATCTGGAAGCTGGAGTGGATGCTGAGCTTGTGTGTTAAAACAGTCTGAAAGAACCTGAGCTGCACAAGCCATGGAAGTTGATATGAGTCAATCTGCAGCTTCTCTTGTGTGTGACACTAGTGCAGGATAAACAATTTCTTGTCTGTAATGGATCTCTTCCTGAATTAGGGCCAACTGGTGTTACTGATTGCATTATTAAAATTCAGTATCTGTTCTCGGAGAGTGTCTGCTTAGCGAGGCCTCTCAGTGCTTAATGGGAGACCCGTAACTAGGGACTTTGGATTTCCATTTACTAACTTCACGGCATCTTAATTGCAAAGTTCCTTCTGATTTTCAGTCCCGTTATTCCTTATTATGATCGTGATGACCGCAGTCTTCTTCCAAGCCATTAAGTGGAATACATTAGTTAGTTTTAAAGGGGATCACACTTGATTTATTCCCCTGCCCGTGCCCTGAATGATGCATGCGGTGCTTACTCGTGAGTGCTCCTCGGCGGTGGCTGTTCCCCGCCGCGTTTGTTTCTCTGCGCGTGTTTCAGCCATTTGAAGGCGCTCTGGGCTCCATTCCCGCTCACCGCGGCCGCCCGCCTGCTCAGCGCCCTTGGGGAGCGCGGCCTGCCCGCCCCGCCCGGCCCGGGAGGAGCTGGGCTGGCGGCGGGGCTGCTGAGGGCCGGC